ACCCCCCCCCCCCCCCCCCGATACACACACACACACACAAAAGCAAGCAATAACGAAACAAACAAGCAAAAAACAAAAATAAATCCAACAAAAGAATTTGGTCATCTGTAGAAAGGGTGAGCTTGCCGTAAATTATTAATAGATTGTCAAGGAAGTACAGAATTCCCACTCTGCTGCCCTGTGACGTGTTGACGAAACTAGCATACGGGGGTGTAAGAAAAACTTTTAGTTTTAGTAAGAGTTTTACGGCACTTGCAACACAATAAGGTGATATAACTTATAAGTGCTGAAGATTAGAGGTGTTACAAGAGAGTAACAAGCACATACAAAAAAGGAGGTGAGATAAAGTTGTTTAATAGGAAAGAAGGCGCAAGCCACATCAGAGCACCCGCCAACCACCCACAAAAAAACTTTGGCGGTCGCTGCCCGCGGAGAACCTCTACATGATGACAACAGTGGCATCCCATCGAGGACCGGACTGATGTCGAATTTACGAAGTGGCTATTTGGACTCGAGTCTGAATAGCCTCCCGTGGCTATTCGGACTCCAATGCACGTTACTTTGAAAGACTGGCTTTTGTTCCCTTTGGAAGGGTTTTAACTTTTCTCTTCTCAATTTCTAACCGGACTTCCAACTGATCAATGATTTTGTCTTTCTCGTCAAATATAGCGGGTTAAGACTACCTATTGATAGTTATAATCCTTTGTTGTTATGAAACTTTTGATTTTCAATTTTTAAACTGCTTTGAGCTCAGATTGCAGTTTCCCTGTTTGCTTTTGTTGTGTAGTATTTAGATTTTGCAACTGTTCACTTTTAGCGAAACAAATACTTTTCTTAATTTGTGTCGAAAATTTTGTCCAGATCGTAGAAACCGAGGAAGGCCAAGGTAAACTTGCCTGTCCGCTTCAAATCCGGTACACGCATTGAAGTTTGAGTCCGAATAGCCACTATCTCGAATTTAATCATAATGTAACCGAAGCTAATGTCCTACGAAAAAGTACCAATAAACGCTGATTTTTCTTAAAAACTAACATCATTAGTGTCAGCTTGAGCTTCGCAAGAACACACCGTCAACAGC